CTTCATAGCATCTACCAAAACGAAGCAATCTATTACACCAACTCCCATCATGATCAACCAATGAGAAGTGCTTTAACTGAATGCAACATATACACAAAACCACGCAAATCATGCCAGATAACGAGTGTGCAAAGCGAAAGCCCCTTTTTTAAAGGCAACGGTGACCATCCTCAGCCATCTGATTGCAAAGATCCAGGCCGTTCATATGGCGGTGACATCGGGATCGTCGAATATACTTGACGCTTCATTTTATACTGCCAGGATCAAAACACGTGTCCAACACCTTACGTTGGAAACGATACACCTGACCTTGGGAAAACCAAGCGACAGCATAAAAGTCAACAACAATTAATGCCCACGACATTCAAGCTACCAGAAACACCACTTTATCTTGCTACCGGCTCTTCCTATATTCAATTCCGAAGGATCTCTTCTTCCAATGCTCGTCCCTATCAAAGGCCACGTTCGTATTTTCCTTCTCCCAACCTTTTAAGTCCACGCATTATATAAATATTCATACATGGACTTCAGGGACTATTGTTATACCACATCCATTAATTTTCCTTCCCCCCAACCTTTTAAGTCTACGCATTATATAAATACCTATACATGAACTTCGGGGACTATTGTTATACCACGTTCATTTTTTTCCCTTTCTCCCAACCTTTTAAGTCCATGCATTATATAAATACCCATACATGGACTTCAGGAACTATTGTTATACCCCTTTCCCAATAGGGGCCCAAACACGCCACGTGGCAGGCGAAACCATAGGCACCCGCACCCTTTATCGGTCGAACCCATGGGATAACAAACTGAATGGATGAATCCCTTAATTGAACCCATCCCTATCTGAACCAACACACCCGAACCTGTGGAGGTGAATCGTTCCACAGGGATCCAGGCGAAGCAAACGAGGTTAGTAAGGAGGTTGATTGATAGAAGATCTCCTAAATCAACTCTAGTGACAAGACTGATTTGACTACTCCCTGACACCGCCACCGCCAACCTGTTTGGTTGAATCTGTGGCCGCAAGCTATGAATTCTAAAAGGTAAGTTGATGTTACCATTCAAGTCTTATGATTGATTGATTCCCATGATTGGAGATTGTGCCCACATGGATGAGGCCACATGTCTTCTCATTTAACTGTCCCTCACTCACTATTTCATACTATAAAAACTCACACTTAGTGTCATTGATAGGTAATGCAAGTTTAGACTTTGATACTACCACTTTGCTCTCTATATTTTTTAATCCTGACTCCGACCCCCTTTATTTTATATTGAAGGCTCACGTTAAAAGCTCTCCTACACTCATACATAGCTTTTCCCCAACTGACTTAACTGTCAGAGTACGCGCGGCCGGCTTCACCCCCACCGAAGAAGGCCACGTGTGTCTAACGGTGTATCCTAGTATATAGGAAAATGGCTTGTTAAGACGTGAGAGGTCTCAGGATCTGTTGGCCACCTGGAGGTACACTTTTTGAGGTCAACAACAAACATAACAAAAGAAAGTAATCCAGTTCCTACACCTACTTCTTGTTAAAGTTAACGAAGATTCTACAAACCCATAGTATGAAATATAAGACAAGACAATCGATGATTTTACCATAATACAAAAAAATAGATATAAATGAACTTCAAATTGATAGCACAGATCCAAAATGCAAGGTCAAAGTCAATAGCCAACCTTAGACAACCTCACCAGATAATGGAAAATAGTCATATAATAAATTAAAAACTAATAGCACTAATCCAGAACATAAGATTAAAATTGATATCCAACCTTAGAATATGTGTCGAGATGCTTTATGGGTAAGTTTCACCTTCTAAATTCCATCATGTGAAAAACAATGAGGACTCCCTTGGTTTCCTAGGACTTTCTTTGAGTTTTGAAGCAAGCCATACTCAACTCGCAGCAACCCTCTGTGTACCAATGAAATTGTGAAATGCAACCAAATTATAGTAAAATTGGGGAGTTTTAATGGGGGAAAAAGGGGTCTTCACATTAAATCTATCAAATGACTTCTTGCAGTAGAAACGATGGAATAAAACATGACTAGTGGTCGTCATAGCTTGAGGTCTGTGAAAAGTTTAATTAAGGAGATAACAATGCAATTAAACAATAATTTTACTACTCATTTTACTCAGGAAAAAAGAAGACATGACATCATCTTCATTATATGTTAAAACCAAATGGAGTATAGCATAAGAAAATTAAAGTAAATAAGGATATAATTTGAGCAAAATACCGCTCTCTTGTATATTATCACAACCATAGATTCTAAGTGTCGTTTCTGTAGCTTCATCTACCCCATCTCTCTTAGAGGGCAGCAGAGACATAATTAAAATAATAATAATAAATAAAATAAAAATTAATGGATTGGGTCAATTTAAATAATTAGCCTAATAAAATTAAAATTCCATAAAGGGGAAAAAAAATCAAAACTCATGTGTATAGTTTACACAAATTCAAAAGTCAGGTGTATAATTTAAAAATTCAAAATTCAACTATATATATAATTAATTAACAATATTTATTAAATAAACATAATCAAGTCACAGTTATACAATTAATGGTCACAAATTCATGATTATAGGTCACAATTTATTTATTGATCATATTATCAAATCAATTAGTCACATATTATTTCGAGATCACAAATAAAATTTTTTATAGGTTACAGTTTATCTATTAGTTACAAGTTATCAAATTTTAAGGTCACGGTTTGCTACCTGGTTACGAATAACCAAATAATTGGTCACATACCACCACCACCAACGCTATCGCCATCGCCACACACCCTGCGATCATTGCCAGCACCATGACAACACCATCGTCGCACCATCACCATCATCAATCGCTACCACCACCGTCTACACCTCCACCTGCACCACCACTAGATCCACCATTGCCGCCATTGCCACCTCACCATCACCGTTAGTCACTCGACCACCACATTCATCGGCAATGTATGACAGTTTCAAACCATCATGTCCCATAAAAACAGCTGCTGCATCCTACTCCAACCACCCACCCACCAGCTCTACCTAAAATCAATCGGCGCAACGTTGCTTGTTAACACTACAGCATCACAGCCACCAACCCCACCAACAAAATCATCAAGTCCGCCACGACACAAACACCATCCCACCTCTACACAAAACACCATCCAAAGATAATTAAAAAAAAAGGAAAAAGAAAAATCAAGTAGAATTGCTCACAGCGCCACCATCTCCAAGTCGTACAACCGTCGCTACTGCGCAAACCATGGGCCACAGAAAATTGTCAGAGAAATGCCACAAATTGGAGAAGATTTCAGATCGCCATCCCTCCTTCCGCGCACAGAGGCTTCAATCTCTTATTAAGCAATGCGGTGCTACTTAAGTGGTGGTGGCAGCGCGGTTTCCGTGAAGGGTGCTCCAACGGCAGCGGCGACGATGCCTGGCAGAGAGAAGCACGAGAAGGAGAGAAAGAAGATGGTGAGGGAGAGTGAGAAAAATGAAATAACATTAGGGTTTGTACTTGAATTGGGTGAAAACATCTAATATATAATTATTCTGTCAATACCTAATTTTTGAATAATCAAATTTCATCCCTGATTTTTGAATTATGATCTTTAAACCCCTAGTATTATGTAATTTTCACTTTCATAAAATCCAAAGGCCCATCTCACTTTTTCAAAAAAATAAAAATAAAATAAATTCATAATTACTCAATTATTCTTTTAAATTAAAGATAATTGAGTGATTACTAAAACTGGTACAAAATTTTCGTTATAAATAGGACCTAAAGTCCATAAAATTTTACAAGAGAAAGTATAGAGGAAAAATCACGAAGTGCTGAAAAAATCTCAAAGCTAGAGAAAGAGAATAAATCCTCTCAAAATTTTATTGGCCCATTGAGAAATGATAGTTTCATAACTACTCACTTTTATGTAAAGTAATTTGTTTTTTAAGGTCCATGAGAAACTGTCTCTATTTACCTATAAGCGTGAGCGAAACATCTTAAATCAATTATGTTCAATTACAGAGAGGAAAATAGAGAGAATAATTTCTTGGTTTTCTTATTTATCTTATTTTGCAGATCTAAAACATTCAGTTAAAGTCATGAATGTATGTTTATTGATCAATGATTAATATGTGAAAATCATAGAATTTTAAAATTTTGGTATTATGATTAATTGCTTACAAATCATACTAATTTAACGATGACTATACACACGATTACTTTAAGGGTCCGTTTGATTGTAAAGATGAAATTTGGGTGGAAAGAAAATGAATTTCAGGAAATTGAATTGCCCAAAGATTGTTTTATTGGGAATTATCAATTAATGTTGTTTGATTGGTATAATTTTCCACCTGAAAAATGTTAAAATAAAAGTGTCTTTTAGTGTTCTTTTTTTTTTTTTTTTTTAATGAAAATTGTCAATTTAAAGAATATTCATTTCTACAATTGTTCCTAGAATTTGTTTCCATTGCCAAAAAAAATAAAATAAAAAGAAAATCATCTTTATTTTGATTTTCGTTTAGCTTTGTTTTACATGAAAACTGTCAATTTAAGGGACATCTTCTTTTATAATTGTTTCTAGAATTTGTTTCCATCACATGCAATAAAAAAAATGAAAAAAAAAAGTTGCATGGAAAATCAATTTCCACCAACCTCATGAGAAAGTGAAATCCTCAAAACCAAGGAAAAGCCGGTCACATGAGGGCAAAGCTAGAAAACCAATTACTTGAAAATTTTGGCAAATCAAATACTCAAAAACATGGAAAATGGAACTTCATTTCCAAGTTCCATGGAAAAAAAGACCTATCAAACAGGCCTTTAGGGTTCTTCCAAGAGATTAAGATTTATGCAGTCCTCGAGAATTTGCAATTGAAGTTTCCATATTTATAAGGTACAAGTTTCCCCAGATATTTAGGGATTTGAATTTTAGTTTGGTACGTTTCTCTTGAAGAAGTTTAACTGTATAATGCATAAAAATATAGACAGACGGAAAATTGAAACTTAAGTTCCCATAAATTAATAAATATTGTTGAGGAATAACACTTCACAGCACTAGAAATAACAAATAACAAAGATAAAAATAACAGTTCAAATCACGCAAGATAATATTTCATTCTAAATTATTACTTGCTCCTATAATTCCAATCGTTAATTTGCATGAGCAAATATAATGTTCATATATGTGTGTGTGTGTCGATTTGCTCCAACCATATGTCTATTCAATGTCTACGAGCTGCCATTTTCTTGAGTTTCTGTAAGGGCTCTATCCTCAGGTAAATTCATCAGGTCCCTAGCAATTGCCTCTTCCATGTGTTTCTGTAATGACAAAAAAATTGTAGTATAAAAATACGAATGAAAACTAAAAGTTGAAACCTCAATTCATCCATCCACTATCAAATACATGGTCGAAATGGTACCTGCAACATATCTTCAAATGTTTTTTCTAATTCTTTTATTTCGTTTTCCGTGGTTTCCAGTTCGGCAATTACCTCTTCCTCTTCATCGTTCAACTCTTCTTGTTCGGCTTTTATCTCTTGCATCTCGGCAAGTATCACATCAGTCTTGTCATTTAGCTCATCCAGGTAGGCATTTAGCTTTAGAAATTTCTGCATTAGATATAATGAATCCCATATGAGGTTCTCTTTACTTTTCAGAATACAATCCATTTCACCCCACCAAATTATCACTCTTTCCCACAATGCCCCCTCTGATTTATCAACTATATAAATACTGCCCTTTCAGATATTAAATTGACCATTGGAAGGACATTAAAAACAGAGAAACGAGAGTAAACAGATTACTTGTGTCAAAATTAAACTTACAAGCATAGTCTGCAAATTTTGGAGATAGGCTTGTGCGCGCTTCATACAATTCTTGTGCCTTACAAGAAGCCCAAATTTTCTTCTCAAATGTCTGGCATAGTGAACTTATATCAGAATAAAATAGGCTAAAAGGAAGAGCCAGTAAAGGGAAGAGAAAAATAACTCACGATGGTGTGTACTTTTGAGTTCTTCGACGGATAGTTTTCCTTGTCAACGACATCTTTATAATCTGTAGGAAGGTTTAACTTACGAATCAAACATCAAGAAAAGATCTTTTGAATAAAACCGACTTCAGAAATCGTTTCAAGGAGTTAATGCAAAAGGTAAAGGAAAAACGACCAGAGAAATTTGATTATATAGAAAATTAACGTTCACATACACAATAACATGTAGAACATAAGAAAAATTATCTTTCCTTTCCTTATACTCTGAGCTACAAACCATCTAAATTACATAATGATTGTTCAAAAAAAATTTAAAAAAAAATAGTCAAAAGTGAAGAAGTTCAGTTCAAGCATGAAAGGGTAAATTCTTCATAGAACCCCCATTTGAAAAAAAAATGGAGAAGGAGAAGAAAACTCTTTGCATTATAAAGTTCTGATAAACATAATTTCCCCCAAAAAAAAAATAATAAATAAATAAATTCGAGCAAAAATAATTCTAATGGACAAAGGTAAGTATATTTGCCCAATTTACAATAATTCATTGAGGTTCTTTTTAAAGTGTTCAAGATTCCTATTGTTGAGCTTTTTTTCCTTAGAGATCGAAATTTCTGCCATCTTTATAGGCCAGTCAAATTTATTATTATTCGAGAATTTGCAGTTGGATCCATAGAAGTTTTCCGAAAAGGAAGAAGTTTCCTCAGCAATTTAGAGTTCTCAGTTTTAATTGGCAAATGAGCAGGAACAGGGCTACTTTGAGATCATTGGGCATATGACAAAGTAGCAACCGGAAGAGGAAGGAAGCTAACAGAACAAGGATATTCAGCAGATGAAGAAAAGCTCGTAGAGACCACTGCTGCATGCAAAATTATTGTTTAATTTTTATCTACAAGGAAGAACATTCTTCTTGAAGAGGTTTATATCAAAATTTTGTATCACATCAGAATTTATAACATTGTTAAGAACAAGTGGACTGTGCAAGGTCTGACTGATACCAGAGAAAGGGAAAATTAAGTGACGAAAAAAAGAAAAAATTCAATTTCCACATAATCTATGGATAGTAGAGTTACAATTATCATGGAATATAAGCTCATTCTCTCAAAAACTCACCCGATTTTCCACTATTAATATGGAACACGAACACGATCATTGTGCTTAACTCTACAAAATTAAAGAAGATATGTTTGTTTCGTTGTACTAATTTACAAGTTGATGCAGCACAATCTTAGTTTGGTCATTTCAAGCAATAGAAATTTCAGTCTTAGATGAGAGAGAGAAGGTATTGTGAGTAAATAGAAGAGTTGATCAATTAGAATTTTGGAAAGTTTGAGTTACCTAACAAATAAAATTTAACTTCTCCTAACTAAAATATTTTTCGTAATTTTAAGGAAACATTGTTACACGATCAAAATTAGAAAAATATTTTCTATAATAAAAAATCAGTCAAATATCTCAAAACAGAAACTTGGATAAAAATAAATTTTCTATTAAAAAAAAAAATTATTGTCAATTAAAAGCATACTCAAAGAAATTTCAACCGTGAAACGTAAAAACGTAGACAAGCGGATTTGCAACTAGAGTCCCTATAAATCGACAAGAATAGCACTTGAGATCCCATATATTCACTAAAATATCACTTGAGTCCCCAATAAATTTATTTTCATTTTAAATTCTTCAAACCTTCAATCTAGGTGCATATTGGTCCTTCTCAAATCTCAAATAGAAAATAAAAAAAAAAAAAAAAAAGTCCACATTTCGTTCACTAAATCATGTATTTAAAATTTTGTTCATGTAAGTAGCAGAATTCTCAATAATCTTTATATTCTCTAAAAATTATTTCCACAAAACTAGAGAGGACCCAATCCTTAAATCTCATTTTAGCGAGAGCCAATTCCTTGTTTCTCGTGAAACAAGGAGAAGAAATGGGGTGGAGACTATAGGATTTCTCATATAAATCAAACACACTCTTAATGTTATACTTTCTTACAGATTATAAAAATGTCGTTATCAAGGAAAACTATCCTTAGAAAAGCTCACAAGAAGTGTGCACGACCGTGAGTTAATTATCTCATGTTTTAGTCTGACATAAGTTCATAATACCTCTCTTCATGACCTCATTGAGTTGAGTTGGAGCTTATTTAACTTAGGAGCCTCTCTTCATGACTTCATTGAGTTTTTCGGTTCGTTTATTTAAATAATTTTTGTAGTTGATAATTCCAAATTGACTTATTAGTATACTTAAAAATTTTGGCCTCTGTCGATTACCCAAAATCGACATCTTGAATGTCTTTGCTTGCACTGTAGTAACTTAAGAGGTATTATTATTTCGTGTTGATTCAACTTATTATTATACTGCTTATTCTTCAAAATTATTTGTTAATCGTGCTTCATTTAATGTTAGAGATTTGATAATCTCTTATTTTGAAAAATCTGGTTGCTTTACATATGCAGTATATTCTATTAGCTTTATTTAAGGTGGGAAAAAAACTTGAATTTTACTTGTTCAATAATTCTTTAGGGCCTGTTTGGGAGCGATTTTTTTACCCAAAAAATTTATTTTTTGAACGTTATTTTACTATTCCAGCCGTCATATTTGACTTCTTTTCTCACAGATGGACCCACTTTTCTCCTAACGGTCAAAAAATCAATTCTTAAAATCATTCGCAAATAAGCTCTTAATTTGATTCTTTTCAAAAAATAATGATATGATATAAAATTTTGAACCGGTGGTTTGACTTCATCAATTGAATTGAAAGGAATTGGATTGAGTGTGCCTTGGAAATAATTCACTTTCCTTAACTCTCTTTTCCATCACAATTATCCCTACATGTTTAGATCCAGTTTAGCAAGTACTGTCTCCTAAGTTTACTTGGAATATTCAAATTGCGATATTGTGTTAGGGTATATTTATATATAACCATCACAGTTTATTGTTTGTGTTCTTCTTTCGTTCCCTTTTTGTTGTGTAGTGAAACAATAGTGATTAATCTAAAATTTGTTCAATATTGTCGTGTTCGTTGAGATATCCATTTCAATATATCCTTTTGATGTTGTCTTGTAAAATTTTAGAATGTTGTTGAGCTAGGGCAACTATCGAACGTTGACTGTCGATCATGAACGGTCGCAATAACGAGATCGTTTATTAATGTTTAATTACATAATACTAAAATTTTGTTTATCAATATATAAATACACTAAATCGTAAAAATCATACATATGAAAATATAATTTAATACAGTCCAAAATAATAATAAAAAATTATATGATACGACCTCACTTCGAAATTGTAAGTTCAGTCAATTTAAGTAGAGCCTGTTGTAAGGCTAAAGCCCCTATACTAGTAGAGGCATAACGCAAAATCGGAAAGCAGTCCCAAATGGTTGGTTGAGATACGAGATTCAATTAGTTTCATCGGGTGCTTCTCCCAAATAATGTATTGAACCATATAATTGGATTCTTCGAATTGTCATATTTTGACACATCATGACCACAGAATAAGTAATTAAGTACTTCCTACTTATTCAACTCGAGTGTCTTATACGATGTGCATCTTTTTTTAATAAGCTTGCTTAATTGTTATTGAAGATTTATACAAGGCCCTTCATGAAGTAACATTTAGCCCCTATCTTGTTTGGATATAAATTAAATTTGTAGTAGATTTTAATATGAAATGGTGAAATATGATGTTAATAAAAATTATGAATCCCAGAAAATGTGTTGAAAATAAATTTTAAAAAATGAGTTTTAAGAAATGTAACACACAAGACTTGGCCACTTTTTGACTCTTCTTTTATTTTAAAACTCTTTATTTATCATACTCATTTTTAACCATACATTCATACAATAATTTTTTTTATACGTTAATTCAAAGTTTTTCCTTACATTTTAATCACACATTCGCCAAAAATATCATTTTTTCACAATTTTCTTTGTAATGGTCATCATCATGGACTTAATTGGAAGTCCAAACTTTCATTTACATTAATTAGTTAAATTTATATATTCTTAAGCATTTTAGAACTTATTTAAAATTATAATTGAAATTGAGAAATGTTCAAATTGGGAGAGTTTTCACAATGGCCACGTCAAATGTTCCATTCAGCACATGAGCCTAACTTACTCTTTATTCTCTACAACGGCCTTTTCAAGTGCAAAAATATTAAAATTCCCTCAATAAGGTTATAAACTACAAAAATATGTTGATATTAAAAAGATAATAAGAACCTTTTAAATAAAAAACAAATACGAACACTTCCCCCTCAAAATTTCAAAATCAAGCTGTTTTCTTTATCGTTTTTTTCCAATACAGATGCCGATTTTTTCATTTTTCTTCTACTTCACTCTTAAAATCTCATAAATTTATGAAACTATCAACAAAAAAAATTCATTTTTCCAACACTTCGAATCGATTAGTATATTTAATTTCATTTAAAAAAAAAACTAGTATATTTTTTGAATCGTTAAATTTTATTTCAATATGTGCTAATACGTAGGTAATTTTTTTACATATCATTTAACAGATCTATAATTTTTCAAGTGAAAAATGAAAAAAAAATCATCTACATAATCAAATCTAGTATTTTGAGAATCCAGATGGCTAGGTCGTCCCATAATGTCCAAAATGGGTCTTTTTATTTTTTATTTAAAAAAAATTAGTACCTCTATTTATTAATTCTTTATGGTTAATCTTTTTTTTTTTTTTTAATATTTTGATTCATAATGGACTTATGGGATTAGCATGTCTCTTGATTTATTATTATGGTGAATTTCAAAGGAATGAAAATGGTCGATGGGAATGTAAATAATGAGTGAAGACGATGATGTTACTGGAATTGTGATAATATAAAGTACACCGTATGTGAAAATGTACCATGATATACAAAATGTGCTCAAAGTCGATCCCTCTCAGTATGGTATAAAATTGAGATTTTTATTTCATAGGCATTCAACCATTTTGATTCCACCAGTAAAAGTTCCTTCTGAAGTGCAAATGAAATTGCTAATTGAATTAAACCAAGGCTGCAAGTCGATTCTTATTTGTGTAACTTTAATGAAAAAGAATGTCTTCGAGAATGAACACGAAG